AATCGGTTTTGTGAAAACGTTAATCCTCATAATCCCCCTATCTGTTTTTATCCTTGAACTTTTTCAAAAAAATTAATAAGTAAAAATCGAACTCTTGTTGTACGTGTGGAAAAGAATGTTCGGTCCTTGAAATTTAGATGCCCTAACGTTTCTTATACACTAAATTGTCTTGAGGGAGCAAAATTTTAGAAAGTGCCTATCTGAAATCGACAAATTATCATATTGTTATTGGGATGACGCCCTTTAAAATATGTTTCTTTTGTACTCTTTATTCTTATTTAATAAAATTCTATCGCCTTTTTATTTAAAAAAATATTACATGATATAAGTTTCAAAACAATAAATTATTACATTGTTATATATCTGATGACCATTTTCAAACATGAACAAAAATGATGCAATCCTATATGTGTCTAGAAACTTTTGAATGGGAATGTGTATTTCATTTCGCAAAGTAAACAACATTTAGGAAGAAGAATTTTTCTTATGAAAGAAAAGAGTACATGAAAGTTCCTCCACAGATTAGTGCACAATTAATGAGCGTATACACTTGCGTGTGACTTCTAGAACGTTATCCGAAACCATGACATAATGTGAAACCAATTCTAACCACAAAATGGTGATACTTCTTTTGAACTTCTAATTCTCAAGCGATTTCTACTGTCCTCTTGCGTTTGTGGGTTGACAGGAACATGAATTTATCAATCAACCAGCCCCATTTATTGGACTATAAGACGAGAAAACCAGCCTACAATTATCATTAACCCAAAAAAAAAAATAAAAAATTAACGGCTAAAAAGAACCCTTTTCCAAATGCTAATAACAAAAAAAAAAAAGACACAATTATCATTAAAAAAAATTAGTTTTGATGCGTTAAAAACAATTATTAGCACTCTAAAAAGGTATTTTGCACTCATCTCTTATATAAACAAAAGGGGGAAATTGTGTTTGGAATTATGGATTGAATACCATTATCACACACCAAAAAAGGGGTTGTTCATATCGGGGTGTTCATATGGGTGTGGTAATGAGATTTTTAAGATAAAAACCCTCGCTTGAAAAAAATATATTAAAAAAAACCCGACAATACCGAACAGAAGCACCACTAAAAGATATTTACTACAAATGACAATGAATATATACATGACAACCAAATAAATAATAAATAAAACCCTTCCATGGAAAGAAAAATTGTTAAACTGTGTTTTGAGTTTAGTTTTTTTTGTTTTTTTGTTTTGGTCAATATTTAGAAGGGAGGGTTCAATTTTCGTATTACCATTTTCTATGTGCCCTCCTGTTTCCTTCTTATTCTAGCAAATTTAGTCAAGCAAAGTTTTCATTTTCAATCACTTAGCAAGAAAAAAATATTTAAACATGTGTGTTCAGTTAAAATTAATAATATATATATATATTATTTAAAAACTTGAGAACTTGAATTAATAACAAAAAACAAACCATTAAAAGATACAATCTACTATTTTGTCCTTTGGATGTGGTGGGGGTGCCTTTTTCTTAAAAGCAGTCACCTCGAGTTGTCCTACGGTGTCCTTTTTGTGTAGAAAAGAGAAAAATGTGAAAACAAAATATGCGGTTGGTAAGTGGATTCAAAGAGGTTGGAGATATTAGAGAAAAAAAAACAAAGGGGTTGGAGATAAGGAACAGAGAAGAAAATGGCAATTCACGTGTTTTGAATAATATTATTAGAGTGCTTCTATTTTGACTTATGCCCTAATTTTCCGTCTCACCCACTATATAAATTTGAAAAAGCACGCTTTTATCTTTCCACCAACTATTATTCCTAAAATATCAATTATCTTTTCATTCATCAAGTAAATAGTTTACAGGACCCGACCCAAATTCCACTTTGGAATCTTCGTCAAACCCTATACATATCCAACACCTGTTAGGTGCCAAACACACTTGACCAAATTTCCTTTAAACTAAAACCAAAAAATTCTTTTAAGGTTTGACTTCTGCCCAAAAATCGGCTGAGTCTCCCCTGTAAATTGCTTGTTTCCCAAAATTTACACCTGTACAAAATGCAATTCATATATCTACAAGCGTTCAGCATGAACAATATTAGAACACACACAATTCAACATCAAATCTGTGTGGCATCAGGCCTTACAGAGATCCTAGGGCAATATCAAATCCTACTAATTAATTTAATTTACAAAAATAGTACGGATACAATAGAATATCCTAGATAATGTAAGTGGATGAGTGGTGGGTGATGAATGCCCAGTGGTGGTGCTCTAGTACTCGATTATTGCCTAGGGGTGCAAAACATTAAAACGTTTGTGGACAAAAGAAAATTTTGCAAAATATAATATGAACATACTATTAAAAACCATTTGAAAACTCATTTAATCCATGTTCTATATTCGTACGAAAATGAAGCATGCATACTTATATTCATATAACCATTCATGCATTCAATCAATTCATCAAAACCATTTGCAAGCATTCAAAAATAATAATTTCTTTCCACCTAGGTGTACCCTTCATAAATTCGTTAATTCCATGATTTTTCTATTTATTTCCCACATTATACCGTCAATTCCAATTGTCACATAGGCGACACCTCCTCGCATAACTCCGAACACAAAGTTAACTTGAGCTGCATTCCTCGCAGAACTCAGGAGACAATTGATCAACCTGAGCCGCATTCCTTGCTCCTCATGGTCCGGGTATCCCTAGGATGTCCGTGGACATCATTATATATGAAGGCAATAGTTTATTCGAAGGTAAAATTTTGGGTACCTATGGTGGTTCAAAAACATTTCCTGTAAAATTATAATATTGTTTCTCACTCAATTCTTAAATCCTGTTATCATTTCTTTTTCCACTTTCTAAGCCATTCACATTTAATCATAACAAAATTTGTTAAAAGCATTTGTTTGGGCCTAATTTGGCACACCCAGCCCAAGAGAAAAAAAGCCCATGAAATTTGGCACTGAAGAACGAGGCAAAATCAGACCCAGGCAATATGGACTAAAATCGGAATCAAGAGCCCAAATCAAAGAAAGCCTAGCCCAGAACCTACCGAAACACAAGAATGACTTGGGCTTCAAAGAAACCCAAAACTGGGCTTGGCATGATTAAAGAAAAAAGCCCAAAAAATCATAGGCAGACCCACGTGACTGTCTGAAAGAACTTTGAAAAGTCAATATTTTTAACTGGGATGATAAAGAGTTGACAAGAGAAGGCAAAACGAAGGGACATCTCTGAAATCTCTGCCACCAGAAGATCAAAATCCCTTTTATATATTCAGAGATATTGTTCCTACTCCAAAGAAGGCACCATCTTTCAAGGGATACGCATGCTATGTTTTTTTAAAAAAGATAGGAAGGAAACATGGAGTTGTTCAAACTGGAAAATCAAACTAACCATCACAGATTGAACTCTTATAGGGGTAGTTGGAATTAAAGATGGGTTAGGTTCTTTTTCAAAAAAACACAGGGAAGTGATTGCCATATGAACTGACTATTGAGAGCTTATCTGCCAGAATTGATAAAACCTTTTTTTTTCTTTACATTTAAAAAAGAAAGATCTTTTGAGGATTGTTGCCGCCCATTGTTAAAATATTAGAAATCTTATTCTAGTGTTCCCTATAAATATATGAGAGGGTGAACAGAGCAAAAGAACAATCAATCAAAAAACAACCAAAAATCAACCCAAGACAAAAGCTCAAAATGATCACTTGATCTCTGAGAACCTTCAAATAAACTGAAGCAACCAAAAGCTCATTTGAGCCCCAGAAGAAGCCAGCTATAAATCAGAACTTCCAATTCAGACTTAAGAAAATAAATCATTCAAAACGAGATTTCTCTCGTTATAAATTTGGTTCAGCAAAAGTCAAACAAGCAGAGTTTGAGTTTTTACAAATATGAAAACCTCAACAAATTTATGGAGAGCCCTGACCAAGCAGAACATGTACCACAGTACAGTTCCAGCTCAGTAATCCACAAGTCCAGCCACTTCTGCCCCTTTCAGACTGAAGGAGTCGCAATTCTTCCCATTCAAAAAGCCTCACAAGGCTCGAAATAGATTCTCACAGGGCTTGAAATAGATTAAAGCTCTGCCAAACTCGAACTTTGGTATCGATTTACAACTGAAGCTTAGCAGTTGAAGTTGTTAATAGCTTAGTCCAGCACATGCTTACCCAGTCCAGCCCGGATCAGGAGTTTTCTATCTAGGCAGAAATGGAAGTCTAGCCTTCTTTTTGTCTTTCTAGAGTTGATTTTTCCCTTCTCAGTTTTATAAAAGGCTCTTCTACCTAAAAACAATTTATTATCTTATCATTCATTCTGACTAGAACTACTAGTGTTGTACTGTGAAAAATTGTGAAGTCCTCACCAGTTTGAGGCATGAAAAGAACTTACTTGGGAGATATTCCACACCCAAATTCACAATTGTTTGTTTAGAAATCAGTAACTTGGGGTGCAAGTTATCTATTTTTAAGAAGTCTGCTAAGATTTTTATAGCTAGCAGTGGCACGCTCGTACACTAAAGAAAGTTGACTTGTTGACCAGTCAATGGTTTTCAAGGCAATGAGAAACTTTACCCTTCCGTCATAGGAGCAAACACAAAATAGGTGAACAATTTGGCACGGCCAGTGGGACTTCTCAGTATACATACTCCTAGAGAAATCTTCTAAAGTATATGAATATTGGAAGTTCTAGCCAGAACCCACACTACACCATGAAGAGAGACCAAGCAGTTCTCTGGGAAGGACTGGAGCCAGAAGAAAGTGACGCCAGGAGCAGACATTCCAGGACTGGCTCCAGGAGGTTGAATAAGATACAAGAAGTTGTGTTCCGACAAGAGACCACAACACAGAGAAGACAGGATACTCTGAACAACATTATAGCCATGATGTAATGGCAAGTCAACAGGCAGTTCAGGAAGGACTGAGAGGCTACTATGGCTAGGATTCCAAACCCAGATGTTATAGTCCAACAACTAGACCTCCTTTATGGTCCTCCACCAGGATTGGCATGGCCATATCAGGAAAACCCTCTCATCGTACAGATAGTTGGAATACCAGGGCATGGAGAATCCAAGCTGGACAGAGGGGAGGAGCCCTTCCCATCCAAGAGCATGAGGCTCCAATCTGGCTAGAAGGCCCTGCACTAGTTCAGGTCCCCCATAATCAGCCAGAACCTCTACTTATTCCACAACCTGTGGCCCCGCATGATCAACCCTTGGCACTTCTGCCTGAGGCACTAGCTGTGTTGCCTTACAGACCCAGAAGGATGGATCCCAATCCATTCCATCCACCAACAAGAGGCATAAGGGGAATCAACCCCTTTGCCAACAATGACAAGAACAGACCGGGGGCAAACTGGAGGAATCATCTAGATTTTGAAGAAGAGGAAGAAAAAATGGAGGAAGTTCTGCCCATGCCATACAGAATGGAGCACAAGATTGACCACGCCCAACCAGAACAAGGGCAAAATCCGCACCCGATCAATGCTTTAAATGACAAAGGGGCATTACAAAGAATGATCAGTGAGATGATGGAACCTGAAGCCAGAAGAAGAGAAAGGCCCACCTACAGAAAGCCATATTCGGCTTACATTGATAAGATACCTCTATCCCCGGGTTTCAAGGTGCCTAACTTTACCTTATTCAACAGAGAAGATCCCCATGCTTTATGAGTTGAGCATATAGGCAGGTTCTCTGACTAGTGAATAGCCATAGAAAATAACCCTCTATTAAAGCTAAGGATTTTTGGAAATTCTTTCTTTGGACAAACCTTCACCTGGTACACCAGTCTACGAGCTAATTCTGTTCAAACCTGGGAGTAAATGGAAAATGTTTTCCATGACTACTATTTCAGGATCCAGCCAGAAGTTACCATCAGTGATCTTGCTGCCCTCAAACAGAATGAAGATGAGCCAGCTCAGGACTTTATAACCAGATTCAGAAAGCTCAAGATGAAATGCCGAATCCCTATGGAAGAAAGGCACTTCATCCAGATGGCTCAAACCGCCCTTAAAATCTCGCTGAGAAAAAGATTTGACGGGATGCTGTTTGGAGATCTAGCAAAACTGGCAGATAAAGCATCCAAATACAAGGACTGCTCAGGGAAGAACAACAGAAGAGGAACGCTTCCAAAGGCACATACTACAAGTCCACTTCTTCTTCAATACATCTGGTTGAGGTAGAATCAGAAGAAGACACACAAGTTTAGGAGGAAAGAGAAATTGTAATGGCAGAAATGGCAAAGTTGAAACATCCCATCAACTGCAAGGCCCTTACAAAGCCACCAAAGTACTAGAAGCCGCCACCATTAATAAGAGGGTTTGTTCTGAACAAACCAACCCAGAACAAGGTCTATTCCTTCGATCTAACAAAGGTTGATGCTTTGTTTGATGAGATGCTGCTACAAAAGGCAATAGAGACACCCCACAGGTTGCCCAAGCTGGAAAAGCTTAAGGGCAGACAGTATTGCAGGTGACATAAGTCTTGGAACCATTCCACCAACAGCTGTGTTGTTTTCAGGGATGTCGTACAAGAAGGAATAACAATAGGAAGGCTAAAACTAGCGGAGAAACCTCCATCAATTACAACAAATCCCTTTCCCTAGCCTCAAGTCAACATAGTCAACCTAAATTGGCCAGAACAGAACAGAGGCAAACTAACAACATAAGCTAGCTCAAGCAGAGGCAGAAGAGTCATAAGGAAGACTAATCAAAGGCCAAAGGCAACCATCTCGGCTGGGTTAGTGTTGTGCAGCAAGTGCAAGTGTGAAAGTGAGCTGGAAGTAACTCTGAACAGGCAGAATCAGCCCACGCCTAGCGTTTTTGATAGGATTGGAACCTCATACCAACAGAGCCCAGTTCCGGCCCCATCTAAGGACAGAGCCAAACAGAAGGACTATATAAGGCCTACTCAGCGCATCAGAAGGATGACACAACAGCCAAAGAAAGAAATACCAATTAAGATGCCCGTAAATGACAAGCCTTTGGCAACTATCATAGAAGGCAAATGGTATTCTGTCGGAAAAAGCGGCAGACCAACTCTGGAATTGACTAGAACTCAGAAGAGGAGGATTGAAAGGCAATACTGCACCTTCCTCAAGAACAGGGATGACACACATGTACTTCCAGAGACCAGTTATGCCAAAAGAGGGAAAAGTCCATAAATAGCTCCTCAGACAGAACAAACAACTTGTCAGCCACAAAAGCTGATAAAAGCAGAATCTCCTGGCAGACTTTCTATCCATCCTGCCTCATCCTCAGTCAATCAGCTCAAACCTTCACAAATGCAGGTTGAATCCGAACCTATCCTAGTACAAGGACAAGAAGACTGGATTGAAGACTATGAAGAGGAGCAGTTAGACTATGAACCATATGCAGATGACCAGATTGGACTCCTCGAACTAGAGAACTGGACAGAGGAGTATGGGGAAAAACAGATGGAATATGATGGAGAACTAGATGAGGAAATTGAGGTTTATTGTAGGGTGATCTGGGCATTAACATGGTATTCATCTTGCCAGAAAAATTCAGGGCAGTAGAAGGACAAGAAAACACTTTGGAAGGAGACGTGTTCTCCCAGGAAAGCTTTGAGTGCATGTTGGCAAAAGCAGAGGAAGTACCAGAACAGCAAACACCTATTGCCCAGACAGGCGTAACTGCCATGAAATTGGCTGCAGAACAGTTCTGGTTCTCCAAACCAACCAATGAGTTGGCCAATCACCTCAGGCCCCTGTTCATAACAGCAAACTTTGGGGGTATTCCTATTCCCAAGGTGATGGTAGATGAAGGTGCAGCCATTAATCTTTTACCTCATAGATTGCTGAACAAGATGGGCAGAAAAGAGAAGGATTTAATTCCAACACGCTTGAGTGTCACCAATTTTGCTAGGGGCATCACCAAGACTCATGGAATCTTGGATGTAGACAGCATAGTTAGAACCAAAGAACTTAAGATTGCATTCTTTGTGGTAGACACCACTTCTACCACTTATAATGCGTTGCTTGGCAAGGACTGGATTCACCAAAGCCTATGTGTTCCTTCCACTCTACATCAACAATTAGCCCTTTGGAATGAAGAAGGTTTCATGGAGATAGTGGAGGTCGATCCATGGCCATTTCTGCCCTCTGCCATGTGTTTTGAGGCAAGGTATTATCATGATGACCTTGGTCCTTTCACCTTCCTTGGAGTCAACCAGAACGGCCGCTCCTATGGTGTCACGGCCCAAAGACTCATTGAAGATGGTTTAGCCAGTTCTCTAGAAGACTGGAATAGACCTTTTGTTCTAAACCTCCAGAACTCTTATGTTTAGTCTCAATCAACAAGAAAAGGATTGAACTGCAACAATCCGATCCATTACAAAAATATTGTTGATATATTGGAAAGAAAGGAAGCTCTTCATGCTTCATGCAGAATCCAGCCATTAATATGGCAAAGTTCACTCATGAGAGCACAGAAGAACAAGAAGAAGAAAGTTTACAAGATGAAGTACTAGATTTTGCACCAACAGCACTGGATGACTCTTTGCCAGAAGTGGAAGATCCATTACAGGAGATAAACTTAGGAACAGAAAAGGATCCAAGGCCAACTTTCATTAGTGCAGTATTGAAGGAGCCACTCAAGAGTGAAATCATTGCACTTTTGCATGAATTTAGAGACTGTTTTGCTTGGCATTATCATGAGATGCCTGGATTGGACAGAAAACTGGTAAAGCACAAGCTGCCAATCAAAGAAGGCTACTTCCTAGTCAAGCAGGCCATAAGAAGAATGTCTATGGAAACATAACTGAAAGTCAAGGAAGAAGTAGAAAGATTGCTTAAGGCAAGATTCATCAAACCAACCATTTATGCTGACTGGCTAGCCAATATTGTGCCAGCTCTGAAGAGAAAAACAGGGCAGTTATGATCTGTGTGGATTATAAGAATCTGAATGAAGCATCTCCCAAGGACGAATATCCTATGCCAATGGCAAATATGCTAGTTGATAGAGCTGCTCATAACCAAATGCTATCTTTTATGGATGGCAATGTAGGATATAATCAGATTATGGTAGCAGAAGAAGACATCCATAAAACAGCCTTCATGTGCCCAGGATATATAGGTGCTTTTGAATACACTGTAATGCTTTTTGGCTTAAGAAATACAGGAGCTACTTATCAAAGAGCAATGAATTCTGTTTTCCATGACATGATAGGCCGTTCTTTAGAAGTATACATAGATGATGTGGTGATTAAATCCCCAGAAGAGGAAGATCATGTATCAAACCTGATAAAGGCATTCCTAAGAATGAGACAACATAAGTTGAAAATGAATCCCAAGAAATGTGTTTTCAGAGTTCAAGCAGGAAATTTCTTAGGTTTTTTGGTCCACCAAAGGGGCATAGAGATTGATAAAAATAAAGCAAAATCCATCATAGAAGCTCTACCACCCCGAAACAAGAAAGAACTGCAGAGTCTCCTAGGAAAAATTAATTTCCTAAGGAGATTCATATCCAATTATGCAGGAAATTCCAGCCCTTCTCCTCCTTACTAAGGTTAAAACAGGAACAGACGTTTAAGTGAGAGGAACAGCATCAACAGGCTTTTGAGGAAATCAAACATTACCTCTCAAATCCGCCAGTTTTGTCCCCATCAAAGAGGGGCAGACCACTCAAACTCTATGTTTCTGCATCAGAAGTGTCCATTGAAAGTCTGTTAGTTCAAGATAATAAGGAGGAGAAGGAACATGCAATCTACTATCTGAGCAAAACTCTGACAGAAGTAGAAAGGAAATATTCTGCAATTGAACGCTTTGTCTAGCCTTGTACTTCACTGCTGTAAAAATTAGACACTACATGCTGCCCTTCACCATCTACATCATTGCCAAGACGGACCTAATCAAGTACATGCTAACAAGGCCAATGGTGAGAGGCAGAATTGGAAAATGAACTCTGGCTTTGACAGAATTTGCTTTCAGATATGTTCCTCAGAAAGCTGTCAAAGGACAAGCTGTGGCAGATTTCCTAGCAGATCATCTAGGGGAAGAGATTGAAAAACATGAATTCTTTGGATATAACAAATGCAGATCTATTGACAAGAGCTCATACTTGTCTTAACAATCTCATCTACTCAGTTCACCTCACACCTTGGAAGCTGTACTTTGATAGATCAAAAATTGATGTAGCTTCTGAGGCAGGGATTGTTTTAGAGGAGCCACTAGGGATCAGACACTGTTATTCTTTCCAGTTAGATTTCCAATGCACCAACAACAGGGCTGAATATGAAGCTTTAATCATTGGCCTTGAAATACTTGTGGAATTAGGAATCCAATCTATAGAAATCTTGGGAGATTCTATGCTTGTGTTAAAACAGATTGCTGGAGAATACAATTGTCTAAGTGCTTTTTTAGCGGTCTATTTAATGGCAGCCAAAAACCTTCTAACAAAATTCAGAGAAGCTACTTGGGAACATATCCCAAGAGAAGAAAACTTTGTAGCTAATGAATTGGCTCAGGTAGCAACAGGAATACAAATGCCTGAGGACTGTGTACAAAGAATCATCAAGGTAGGAAAGAAAAGTCTACCATCTGTTCTAAGCAGAGGGATGGAGATAGATGTCAATTTTGCCATAATCACTAAAGATGATTGGAGAAATCCCATTATAAATTACTTGCAGTATCCAACCCTTCCTTCTGAGAAAAGAGTCAGAATCATGACTTTGAACTATCTTATGTGGAATGGAGATTTGGTCCGAAAAAGCAAAGACGAGGTACTTCTAAAGTGCCTTGGAAAGAAAGAAAACATGAAGGTCATGGGAGAAACTCATGAAGGAATCTGTGGAGCTCATCAAGGAGGAAGAAAAATGTGATGGCTAATTAGGAGGTAGGAAAGAAAAGTCTACCATCTGTTCTAAGTAGAGGGATGGAGATAGATGTCAATTCTGCCATAGTCACTAATGATGATTGGAGAAATCCCATCATAAATTACTTGCAGTATCCAACCTTGCCTTTTGAGAAAAGAGTCAGAATCATGGCTTTGAACTACCTTATGTGGAATGGAGATTTGGTCTGAAAAAGCAAAGACGAGGTACTTCTAAGGTGCCTTGGAAAGAAAGAATACATGAAGGTCATGGGAGAAACTCATGAAGGAATCTGTGGAGCTCATCAAAAAGGAAGAAAAATGTGTTGGCTAATTAGGAGGTATGACTACTTCTGGCCAACTATGATGAAGGATTGGATTGCCTATTCCAAAGGATGTGAGGCTTGTCAAAGGTATGGCCCAATCCAACAAGCTCCTTCAATTCCCATGAATCCAGTAGTCAAGCCATGGCCATTCAGAGGATGAGCAATGGATCTCATTGGTAAGATCTATCCAGCCAGTAGCAAACAACACTGTTTTATCATTGTAGCTACAGACTATTTTACCAAATGGGTGGAAGCCAAGCCTGTCAAATTCACTACATCTCAAGAGATCATCACTTTCATAGAAGAGCAGATTATACAAAGGTTTGGCATTCCAGAATCGATACAACTGATAGAGGATCTTCTTTCATATCTAGAGAGATGCTAGATATGGCAGAAGCATTCAAGTTTAAGCTACTTCAATCCACTCCTTACTATGCTCAAACTAATGGGCAAGCAGAATTCAGTAACAAAGTGATCATCAACATTATCAGGAAAATACTTGAGAAAAATCCAAAACAGTAGCATGAGAAATTATCAGAAACCCTATGGGCATATAGGACTTCAAAGAGAGAACATATGGCCATGATGCAATTTTGCCTGTGGAGATAGGAGTCCAGTATCGCAGAATTGCTCATCAACATAGTCTGATTGGAGAAGACTACTCTCAAGCCATGCTACTAGAACTAGAAGGATTGGATGCAAGTAGGATCGATACCCTCAACAAACTCTTAGCAGGAAAATAAGCTGTGTCAAGGGCCTACAACAAAAGAGTTAAAAACAAGAGTTTTGAAGAAGGAGAAATAGTTTGGAAAGTAGTTCTGCCCCTTGGAACACATATAGCTGGCTATGGAAAATGGTCACCTACATGGGAAGGTCCTTTTATAATTAAGCAAATCCTTAGATTGGGGGCATACAGATTACAGGATCGAGATGAGGATGTTCATGCTGCACCAATCAATGACAAGTGGTTGAAGAAATTTTATCCAATTATGTGGGATTCACAGGCTGTGCAAACATATCCTGGAATAGACAGGCAGGAAAATGAAACTGTTGTTTAGAGTTCTGTTCAAAATTTACTTTTGTTGTAATTTGTTAAGTACGTTTTTAAATTATTTCTGTTTTCTTTTTGTCAAGAGAAATAAAAAATTCCACAAAAATAAATAACTTTTATTAGAAATAGTCATTCTATGATTAAATTTATTACAATTTCATAAATCAAATTTAAAACCCTAATTTCCTAAAGTTTCTTGCAAATTGGTCTTCTTGATCAAAAGCTCCTTTTGGAGCAGCACCCCCTGGTGGATTGAGGCTTCTGCAATCTCCAATGCTGGCCTGGAAGCTGACACCATATTTTGCACAAGGAAGGTCATCTTGGTCTTACTACTCAGTCCAGCCCCCAGCCAATTCTGCTTGCCTCTCAAGCTAGCCAGCTGCTTATGAAGTTCTTCAATGTGCTTTTCCAGTTTATCAGAAGCAGTCTTGGTCTCCTTGTAATCAACGACCATCATATCCAATTATGCATTCTGTTTCTGGAAGTCAACCAGGTTAGCTTCATGAGAAGCTTTGCAGAATTCATACGCTTTAAAAGAAGGCTTGAGATCTTCATAGCGATTGTGGAGATTGAGCACATCTCTCGCCAAGCCTAGGCTGATTTCAAGGATGGGCCTAGGAGCCATGTTTTCTCTATGCAGCAAGTCCAGGTCCTTGTTCCTTATGCAATGCATTTTATGTGCACGGGACAGGATTGGCCTTTAATGGGGGGAATAGCGTTGAAATAATATAAGAAATGCAGAACCATTTTTTGACTAATTTTGTTGCAGTCACAAATGACGGTTTTGTGGTACTTCCAAAATACACATTTTCAGGGTTAGATAAACCACAATCTATTTTGGGTACTTGAAAGTCGCCATTAGTCTTCATTTTTCTTCTTCCTTTTTTGATGTCTCGTGCAAACTAAAAGTGTAGGGTCCTATCACAAGAGATCTTAATCATTAACCCAATATGTGATGTTCACATGATGTACTTGAATATTTACTCTTACTCCTTACTCAATACGTGGTGTTAACGAGTTACGCTTGAATGATTGACTCCACCGTGAATTTGGCTGCATGTGTAGCCCATTATGTAGCAATCGTACATAAGAAATAAAGATAATATATATTGAATGGGATCCACTACTACTACCACTTAGATCTTGGAATCTATAAGTGGTTAAGTTTGGGAGAATATCGGTGTTGCTAGTAGTGGGCTGTTGGTCTGTCTACTTGAAAACTTAACACAGACTCGCTTTTGAGACTCTCTCTTGAAGAACCAACGATATATGAAAGTAAAACCCCTAAGCTTACTTCACCACTAGTTTTACATCGGGTTCTTGTAATTTTCTATAATTTGCATTTAGAACTCTATTAGAAGCCAAATATCTTCTACTATCATGAAGACGATATCAATGGGACAGATATCTTCTACTACCATTGGGACATTTTTGACTTCCTATCCGTTTACTAACACTTACGAAATCAAAATATATGCGGGCCTCAATTTACAATATGTAATCCACAATTTATGAAAAAAACTAGAAATTATATTGATTGATGATCTCATATAAGGATGGCAAAAATCCCCGCGGGCGTGGGTCCCCGACCCTGACGGGGGGAGATTTCAGGGCCAAATGGGTATCGGGTACGGAGATCCCTAGACTTGAAAAATCGACTCGGGGACGGGGGGGGGGGGGGGGGGGGGGGTTAGGGGGTATTGGTGTCCCCATCCCCGAACTCAACTCGAAAATATATATGTTTATATTTAAATAAATAATTATAATATTTATGTTTAACCCTAAGTTAACCTCTCCTCTTCTAATTCTTCCTAATCTTCTTTGGAATTTCATATTTAAGTGATTTTGAATAGTTGAGTTGAACTTTATAGTTAATTTGGATGTGTTGAATGATAAATTAATATGAAACTTAATGTTAAAATGTATGATAAAAAAATTTTTTATGCAAAAAAAAATATGGGATTCGGGGCTTGGTATGGGGGATAGTCCCTCTACGCGAACGGGGACGGGGATTCCCCGAAACTTATTAAACGGGAATGGGTTCGGGGATTAAGGCGGGGATGGAGAGCGGAGATGGGGATGGTATTGTCATACCTGGCCCCTACCCGACCCATTGTCATCCTTAATCTCATACCTATTCCCATGATCCCATACATATTTTTTATTTTCCCAATTCACGAGTATCCTCATTCTAAATAAGTAAATGATGTAACTGCTTACAAAGTGGCATAGCATCTGAAGATATACGATTGGATCAAACAAAAAACAAAAAGTTATAGGAATTTAAAAGAAATAAATTTCAAGGAATTTGACAAGTGCCAAAACTCTATTTGTTGTGAGGAGGAGATTTGAATTGTTTTTTCTTTAGTAAATTTGGCTTACACTCTTCAAATTCAACTTACTTTACTTGCAACCCTTCACTTTTTGTTCCTATAAATAATACCCAATTTTATAAGTAAAAACCCATGACTAGGATCCAACTCATGAAGTTACCTTATTAAGCTCAATATCTGATTTATTATAATTTTTTGATTGCCAAAATACCCCTATTTACTTTTCAATGTGTAATGGGGTGATGTTTTAATTTTTGGTTCCCCAATTTATTGTGGTTATTCCCTCTAAAAATTTTGTCTGCAATTAATTATCCGTTTTATTATTAAAATTCATTAATGTAGTCAACAATTTGTTGGCCAAAAAAGTCTGTTTTCCTTATTGCCTTTTTGAAATTTTGTTCCATCTTTCCCGAATAATAATTACCTATTTTAGAACTTGGATTTCATTTATTGTACCTAGTTTTTTCATGGATAATAATCTACCTATTTTTTTATTATACATTATTGTGTACCTATTTTTCTGTAATAATCTACCTATTATTATTTTTATTATAAATTATTGTGCACCTATTTTTCTATAATTTAGTTTTTTCATGGATAATAATCTACCTATTATTTTTTTATTACAAATTATTGTGTATCTATGTTCATAAATTATTATGTACCTATTTTTCTGTAAAAATCTACCTATTATTTTCAATAAATTATTGTGTATCTATATTTTCTATAAATAATCATGTACCTATTTTCTGTAAATTTTTTGGTAAATAATATACCTATATTTTTATACGTATATATTTATATTTATATTTTTCATAGGTACATTATTGGATATGTAATTTACATATATATTTACATATATATATTTTTAGTTTGCAATTTTTAGGGCAATATGTTAATGTATATATTTACATTTATATTTTTCATAGGTACATTATTGGATATGTAATTTACATATATATTTACATATATATATATATTTTTAGTTTGCAATTTTTAGGGCAATATGTTAATGTTAGAGAGAATAGTAACCAAAAGAAATGGGGTGATTAATATGCTATTAATAGGGAGTATTAATTACAGTTATGGTAGTTAATAAAATGCTTGAAATAAATTATAAATAAAATATGAAGTTTAGTGGTAATGATGTAAAAACGTAGGAATACTATGACCTCTTATATCCTACTGGTTATTTAAATTTGAAATTGGGTTTTACATATAGATTTATAGAATGGGTATATGTCTAGAAAATAGAAAATGCAGGGACCTATATTGGACAAGCCCTTTTTTCTTCTTCTTGGATTTGAATTGTTCTGTAGACACTGTAATAATTGTTCATGGTATATGGTTAATGGTTTTTGAATAAGTATCTGGTTTTCTTAACAACAATATGCATGAGAATGTTCCAATTATACATGTCTTAGAGCACGTGGCCTTGAGTCATTGCAGTCTTAAACATAGATAGAAGGTGTCTCAGAAGCATCAGAAGGGAAATGAAATGTAACTTTACACGTTATTTTCTTCATTTCAGCAACTTGACGCCAGCCCTTCCGTCAGAAGCAGAAACTTGACGTGCATCCCACACGTGCATGTTACATTAACTTTGTTTAATGTAAGCAGTGGGCCCACACGTGCACGGTGCATCCCAAGAAAGATTCAATTTGTTCTAATTTTATATATAAATTGTTGGTTGTCAGACCTTCCAGAATTCTAAAAACAAAATCGGATAATAAGTCATATTTTTATGGAACATAACTATTCATATTATCTTTTTTTAATTTTAAAAAAAAAGAAAAAAAAAAAAAACCAATTGGCATATGCGTGAGCATGTGCCAAGAGGGTATCATATATAAAACTTATAAACAAACAGGATGCAAAATTAGTGACCCCGTTCAAACTTTGCCATAATAATTTTAAAGACCTAAATATATGCCTTATCATGATAATATAATAACCCTACTTCTGAAGAGAGCTCACTTACTTTGAGATTCGACAAGTTTTCAATGGTCTCGTATCATATTAATTGCAAAAGTGACTTTCATTTTGCCATACTAGGTTCCGTTTAGAAAATGAATTCCTTGTTGCTTCTGCAATGCATTTTATGTGCACGATAGATCAGCTGGGTACAGGACTGGCCTTTAATGGGGGAATAGCGTTGAAATAATATAAGAAATGCAGAACCATTTTTTGACTAATTTTGTTGCGGTCAGTTTTGTGGTACTTCCAAAATACACATTTTCAGGGTTAGGTAAACCACAATTTATTTTGGGTACACGAAAGTCGCCATTAGTCTTTATTTTTCTTCTTTCTTTTTGATGTCTCGTGCGAACTAAAAGCGTAGGGTCCTATCACAAGAGATCTTAATCCTTAACCCAATATGTGGTGTTCACATGACGTACTTGAATATTTACCCTTATCCCTTACTCAATACGTGGTGTTAACGAGTTAGGCTTGAATAATTGACTCCACCGTGAATTTGGCTGCATGTGTGGCCCATTATGTGGTAGTCGTACATAAGAAATAAAGATAATATATATTGAATGGGATCCACTACTACTACCACTCAAATCTTGGAATCTTTAAATGGTATCGGTTAAGTTTGGGAGAATATCGGTGTTGTTAGTAGTGGACTGTCGGTTTGTCTATTTGAAAACTTAACACAGACTCGCTTTTGTGACTCTCTCTTGAAGAACCAAGGATATGAAAGTAAAACCCCTAAGCTTACTTCACCATTATAGTTTCACATCAGTTTCTTGTAATTTTCTATAATTTGCATTTAGAACTCTATTAGAAGCCAAATATCTTCTACTATCATGAAGAAGATATCAATGGGACAGATATCTTACTACCATTGGGACAAAAGGCTTCTGTTTCTTCTTTTTAAATTTATCATTTTTGGGGTCATTTAGAAGAAGATATCAACATATGTGGCCGTAATCCAATAGTATTCTTTAATTTCTCATAAAAAAAGGACTCTACAAGACTGTATAGATTATTCCTGGAAGGTATTGGAAAATAAAATACAACTCTTTTTACAAAACACAAGTTCCGTCATAAGCCAATTTCGTCCATACTTTAACCTCACTACCCCAAATCAATTCCCAGTTTCTTAATTTTATGTATGACCAACGAAAAATTAATCGAATATTTCTCCAATATGAAATTAATGTTGAACAATTTTGATTTTGATTTTTTATTTTCTTCTTATTATTATTACGAGCAACATCAACAAGAATAAATATAACGACACATCGCGAGAGTACTTGTTCTACCACGAAAGCTAGAACCACCGATATTATTAATTTTTTGACTAATCATCAAATAGATAATTATTCGTCAGAACTAAATGTAGTTGCCGACAACAAATAGTATGGTTAAAGTACTGTATCTATTATGACTAGCTCTTTCCAAATATTTCTTTTCGCCTTCTTAGTTTGTTGTCAAACCATTGTTTTTCACAACATTTATTGTTTCACATTGGAATAGAGTTTGGATTTGACAGACGAGTTTACTTTTGCATAGAAGAACTTTGATTTGTGAATCAACCGATGGAATGCGTATGGAATATGGAATCTCTATTATAAACGTGATTCGTGAGAGAATAATGACATGTTTACTTAATCTAAAATATGTATTACAAATATTTCAAATTCTGACTTATTTTCCGTTTACTAACACTTACGAAATCAAAAAATATGTGGGCCTCAATTTACAATATGTAATCCACAATTTATGAAAAAACTGAAATTATATTAATTGAGGGTAGTTGATCTCATACCTATTCCCATAATCCCATACATATTTTCGATTTTCCCAATTCACGAGTAATCCTCATTCCAAATAAGTAAATGACGTAACCGCTTACAAAGTGGCATAGCATCCAAAGATATACGATTGGATCAAACTAAAAACAAAAAGTTATAGGAATTTAAAAGAAATAAAGTTCAAGGAATTTGACAAGTGCCAAAACTCTATTTGTTGTGAGGAGGAGATTTTAAGGAGCCAAGATTTTTCCTTTCAATAACTAGGGACTGTGGACAGCCAAACCAGCAGATGATGTTAGGTCAGAAGTAGCTTATGCTAAGAACCTTCTGGGCAAGTGACCTTCCCCAATGCTATTTCCACATTCTCCATCGTGGATTTTGCAGAGCACTTCTAGAGCTCGTGGGTACTTTATGCATGCGAGTTGAGGACCAAAATATGATCTGCGACCCCTTAAGCTTTCTGCTTGATTTTTCTAGCTTCGGGACTTCTCTCATGGAAAATTTTCATTCACCAAATAGTCAATAATGAGATCTTGCCAGTTGGGGTTGTCATCGATCTGCATCATATCCGGATGCTCTGCTTCTTCAATGCTTGGTTGATCAAGGTATTTGACTTGGACTTTTGGTGAAAAATAGATGTTTAAACAATCTAAAATATGAAGAAAAAAAATAGTCGTTAACTTGTTACACCTAAATATAAATCGAGCTTAAAAATCAAATCCACGTTTTCTCGCGCGTGTATTCATCGTGGATGTTCTAGAAGGCCTTTAATTATGGCCGACACTTTTAAAAGATATTTGACATCGTGCTAAAGTTGAGATACCTGCCTCCTCGAAGTAGCTATAAATAGGAGCCACTTCTTTAATTTACAACCACTCAACACACTTTCGCGTCCTTCCCAATTTACATCTTGTAATAGATACTCATCATCATCTTCTGAGTTGAGTTTTAAGCGAAGGCTCCACTTGCTGTTGCACAAACCATGGACACATTGAAAGTAACAAGCATCAAATCACTTGCTGAATCCCCTGCCCTCAACTCAGTTCCTTCCACATATGCCTTCAACATAAACCCCAACGAAGAAGCAGATCCAAACGATCCTGAATTCACAATTCCCATTGTTGATATGTCTCTTCTCACTTCGGGGTCTCCTGATCAACGGTCAAAAATCATTCACAACCTCATAAAAATTTGTCAAGAATGGGGCTTCTTCATAGTAATTTTGATCTACATATATTATATCTACAGCAGTTATATTACGAACTTAATAATTGATTGACAATTTATTAACCATTGCGATGCAATATTAATTCCAGGCCATTAACCATGGAGTGCCAGAGAGCCTCATGAAGGCGATGATTGACGCTTGTCATGGATTTTTCACTCTTCCTGACAAGGAGAAGCAGGAGTTTAAATCGGGTAACGATGTGCTAGAGATGTTCGAGTATGGTACCAGCTTTAATCCGGCCACGGATAAAGTCCTCCTGTGGAGGGACTTCTTCAAGGTGAGAGTACATCCAGAGTTCTACTCCCTCTACAAACCGAGTTGCTTCAGTGAGATATCAAGGGAGTTCAGCAAGAGAAGCCGAGAGGTTGCATTGGAGATAACAAGAGCAATCTCAGAAAGCCTGGGATTGGAGCCAAACTACATATACGACGCAATGAACATGGATCGTGGCTTGCAAATGCTGGCCGCCAACTACTACCCACCATGCCCTCAGCCAGAACATGCAATTGGTATACCACATCACACTGATCATGGCCTAATCACTCTCCTCATCCAGAATGAGATGAATGGCCTCCAAGTTGAGCACAACGGGAAATGGCTCACTGTCGATGGCCCTACCAACTGTTTCTTTGTTAACCTTGCTGACCAGATGCAGGTAATTTTATTTTTATTTATCGCACATTAAACAACTTCAAGAAGAAGCAAAAGAGTAGGCTAACCTCATTTGCCTTGCCACATCAGCATTTTCATGCTCCAAGGAAAGAGGGAAATGGGTAGATTCTCTTAGCTCATCTTGGTTGCCTATTCTTTTTCTCTGTAAGATTGCTTTCTGCATTTGGAAACTTGGGTCATATGCATCAATCGCATCTTTGACGATTCAAGTTTGATTCAATTCATGGTTTTCAACAGATTCTTACTAACGGCAAATACAAGAGTGTGATGCATCGGGCCACCTTGAACAACAAAGCTACACGAATCTCTATCGCCATACCACATGGACCATCTGTGGATACAATTATTGCCCCAGCTCCAGAGTTAATGGAAAAAGAAGGTGAAGCTCCTAAATACCTTGCAATGAACTATAAGGAATATATAAAACTTCAACGAAGTGGCAAGATCTACATGAAGTATACCTTTGATCACATACGAGCCTAAGCATTTTGCTTCAACGACACTTCAACTATAATGAAAGAGCTGCAGCATCTTTTTTTCTTTTTTTCTTTTTTTTTGTCTTTTGTTTTTTCTTTCAATAATCATGTCATCTTCGTCCTGTATTTTTATTGGGGTTTTCTTGCAGTTGGACTATGCTCCAAAAATTAATGATTATTTATGCTTGATAATCGCCAGGGCTTTCCACATATAAGCCTATATTTCTAGAAATGGGGTTCATTATAAATTTCTCTAATCGCTCCTTGGAATCCTTTTAGTTTACACACTATTATCCGTTTTGGTGCATAACTCTTCTCTGAACAAAAGTTCTTTCTTTGGAGTAGACTTCATATGATCTTCACTAAGAGAATGTATGAACTCCTAGTCAAGATCACGCAATTAAGTTGCTGATCGAATATTGATAAATTTTCACCTGTGACCAAATACAACGTCAAGTTGAATTGATCGAGAGAGAATCACACACACTTTACGAAATGCACAATTTATATTTATCGAGTCAAAGTAGAGTGAGGTATATAAATTAGAGGATTAGATCCTGTGGTTACGGACTATAGAGTCGGAGGTTCCAATAGCGTGTAGGAAAATCATGATCGGAATAACGGACCAAAAATAACATCTGCTTGTTCTTTTAACATTGGAAATAAATAGTTTAATTAAATAGAACCTTCCATGACACTTGAGTCTCCTCATCAGATCTAGATGCCAGATATAGATTTTTGTTTTTTGTTTTTTTATAGACGGTAATATTTGAATGAGACTTCTACAAATTTTAGCTTACCAAGTATGAAGATTTGGTAAGAAAATTCCAAATTTCATTTGGATTATTATGGAACTTACCATGTACTTTGAATCAATGTGTCTCTTTTACTCCAGTGTTGGTGTGCTGTTAGATGGGGACAGACGGCAATTTATTTATTCATCTCTTCCCATGACTGTTAGTATTTAATTTATTTGATTTTAATGCCAGGTGGTTCATCAACATTCAATAAGAAATTACTAATACGCAGAAAATAGTCATGTGCTGACACAATTCAATGAAAATATTATTTAGAGCAAAATCATGCAATTGAAGTCCAGTCCTATTTTGAGTCCACATTCCTCCTCTATGGCTTCAATTAAACAAAAAATAATTTTTTTGTCCAATTCAGTTGCGTTAAAATTGATTCAGTTGCATCCTCAAATTGTGATACTTGTAAGCGCACTAGCCGTTCAATAGTACAGCATATGTAAGTGTGAGGTCGATCCCACGAGGATTGATGATAGATTTTTCAATTCGATTCCTTATACAAAATAGAAAACAAGAAAGAAAATAACAAAAAACAAGAAAGAAAGAAAATAACTAACTTAAGCAAATCAGTTAACAAGTTCAATTCAGATTTACAGATTGATTCTAGCTAAAATATGATTAAGCCATAGTGTATGGTCCTAACCTTGTATTTCTAATTCCTTAATTAGATTATTTGTTGTCGAGCCTAAATTAAGAATTAGAAATCCATTAAGCATAAAAGAATGTTTTAAACAACCAAATATGTATCTTATCCTTGTTGTCGATTGAATTTCCATACATACTTTTCCTATTCATAGTTCAATTCGAATTAAGGCATATGGTATCTATTCCTAATTCCAACCAAGATAGCTAACATACAACTTTTGATGGTGATCAATCATTCAAACAAGTATATTAACTTATAAGCGTAATCAATAAGAACAAGAACAAGAACCGTAATTTAAACTTGGAAACTAATCAAACTTTAAAACTTAAATAAGAAATTACATTATAATGAAAAACAAAGTACAATTAAGAAAAAAATTAAGGAAAATTTAGCCAAAGGGTTTTGTTGCAACAATTGAGAACTAAAAAGAAAAAAACTAAGAGAATTTGAGGGAGAGAAGGGATAAGAGCTCTAGAGAGATGTTTGAGAGCTCCCCTCTTAGGGTGTGTTTGTAAGCTTGGAGAACCTCACTATTTATAGGCATATGGAAATGAAAAATATGAATTGAGTATCGCTTCTACCTACAATACTCACTTCACCAACTTTACCTAACTTCCCCATAAAAAACAATTAGCTCATGTATAGGTCATGCATGACAATGCATTGTAGTATGCATGTAGGCTCGTTTTGGGATTTGTTCCTCCATTCCAAAAATTCTGGAAAAATATTGATCTTGAAGCTCTTTATCGTATCTTTCCAACCATATGTAGCCCAGCTTAAGGAAAATTGGAAAGGCCTTCAAATAGCTTTTTTGGCACAGTAGTGTAGATGCTTCCGAAATTCACCTTAAGCTGCCAAAACTTTCATAACTTCTTCTAGAAGACTCAGAATCATAAACTATAAAATGGTCTAGAAACTACACTCCCACATCCTTCTAATGGTGTAAGGCTCATTAGCTGGTTCTTACTGAGCACATATAGTCCAATCCGTGAAATTGACTGATCTGTAGACATAGTTTTGAGCTAACTTGACTCCAAAATGCATTAAATGAGTCCTAAAGCTTAATATGCTGAAACAAACACAAAAGAGATTAAAAGCACAAGTTTAATTAAAAAACATAATGAAATTCTAAGCTAGAAGGGTACAAAATTATATACAATTATGCATTGATCAACAATTCTCATAACATTGCGTCCACAATTCTACCAAATTATAATCAATATTTTTGGTTTAAATTATGTAGTTCGGTAGGATTCATTATCATTATCAAAGGTTTGATGGCCTGAAAACAACCTGGATTGGATTATTTCTAACCCTTCTAAGACTAAGTATAGTAGGATTATGTCTAATACAATATTTAAGCTCATATAACAACACATTTCAATTAATTAAATTCTTTAATTATGTGTAGTACCAAATGCATCATTTTAATCATGGGGAATCAAACCTAGGACCCCTAGTGCATCAGAAAATTTTGTATGAAACGGGGATAACACTGATTTGCTATCACCAACCAATCACAAACTGTCGCGTGAAAAAGTTATCTCACATGGTATGCCATGATTGGCTGGGATAGCAAATAGTTCTATCCCCATTTCACACAAGTGTTTCTCCTAGTGCAGGGGTAAATGCTCTTAAGCACTTGAGCATACAAGTCCATTGCGTGCCAAAAACATCATTAGACTACTGTTATCATTTCAAATCCAATCCAGCCCAATGTAATCTAATTCTACCTCATAATCCAATCCAATTAAAGTCACCAAACACAAATATATTGCAAAAATTAATTGTTTGATGATAATGTCAGCCCATCCTCATGAGACAATTAATAAAGCATCATCATTAGTCGGCAATAATCTTCGTAAATCACCCAAAACATGGACAAAAGAATAAACTAGCCAAACACCCTGTGAGAACATGAATTTTGACAACTAAGCAGAAACTGACAAGTGGAAAAATGTAATAACCCGATCCTGAATTTATTTTAATTATTAATTTATTCTATGAAAGACAATTATACCCCTAAAGTATTTTATTAGGCTTAAAGTTGACTTGTTGACCGGGAGGAATTTGCGAATTTGGGTGGTACCATTGCGTAGAGCTCGACGATACGAGTTCGTAGACATGCGGCATTCCCAATTCCGAGTTGTAATGAAGGAGAAAAAGTTATGAAAAGTAAGGACGTGGTGGGAATTTTAGAATTTGTCACAGCTACAGTACAGCTACAGTGATGCTACAGTCCCCCCGGGCCTCCGTATTTCTCTTCTTCCTCCTAGCGACACAACGAGAATTTCTGGTGGTTTTTCTTTTGGGCAGCCAACCTCTCTCCTCCACCACCGCCACCACATGCCTCCGTTTTGGGTGGTACTGGTCCCAAAAGAACCGGGCCACCTTCCTCTTCCCATCCCGATCAACCTCAGCATCTGGAACCACCGGTGCTGGCCGGAAACTGATGAAATCCGGGCTGTTTTGGACAGTTTTTGATAGATTTTTTGGAAGCTCGTTCGGGTGTTTCCGACGGCCAAATTTTGCAATCCAGGTATGCTTTCTCAACCTCTGGAGATTCTCTAGCTGCTGGTTGTCTTGGATAGGAGAAATTTCTGAGTTTTCTAGGGTAACTAAGCGATGGAAAATATGCCTGTTTTCGGCCTCCGATTCAGGCCACTTCCGTCCACTTTTTGGGTAGGTCCAAGAACAAAAGTGGTTCCAAATAGGGTTTTTTTTACCTAGGGTAGGAGTTTGGGCTGACAGTTTAGAGTTTTTCCGGATGCCAGAAATTTATTAAGCCACCCAAGCGCTGCCGGCGCGTGTGACAGCGCATGGGCAGAGTGGTGGTCTGAAATTAGGTTCTAAAATTATTCTTATGTTGTCACGAGCACATATGAATTCGCAGATCTCAATTCGGACAACGTTTAAACCCCGAACGGATCTCGCATATTGTGCAATTTCCAGGTTCGTTATGTTTGAGCCGTTCGATCATAGTCAATTTCTTATATATCGATCTAGATAATTCTAGGATCATGTAGGATTCGACGGATTGTAAAACGGAGTCCCGGATACTCCAGAAACGTCAACCCTAGGGCTAGGTTTATAGTAATTGTCCGATCGTGCGATCGTGATTAGTCCGACCGTCCAATCGAGACCAAACTCTCGGGACATGTGTCCTAGACATATTGGAACCTATGAGAACTTTCGGATCAGAATTTTGAGGCCGTGGACCCCACGGGGTCCCAAGTTGACTTTTTTGACTTTATCGCTTTTAAGTCCCGAGGCACCTTTAGACCGCTCTAAACCTTGGGAAGAGCTACTGGGAGGACATAAATGACTTTAAAGTTGGGGCACGTACTTCTAGGAACCCAGGGCTAGGGTTTCGAATAAAATAACGTTGATGAGTTTTATTGTTTGTGTGTGAGCTTTTAGGAAGTTCTTGTACGTGCGAGTGCTCATTGATTTAATTATGGCATTAATTTCATGGATTAGATTACCATATCACTTATTATGAAATTATATAACTATGGAGTGGGTAGATATGATTGTATACATATGGATTGC